AAGTGGTCCCGAGATGAGATGACAGAGAAAATAATTGGAAGTGGTTCTCTAGATTAGAATCATATAATGGTTCTCATCATAGCAGACCAACAACTGAAACTCCCTTCCCTTCCCTCGTTATATAAACCATTGAGAGCGCATTGCAAAGGGTCATATCCACCATCTATGGGTGGAGCTTTGCCTGGTACCAATGAACAAGCAATTTAGCAAGTCTGTGTGGGACTAGTTGGCCTAAAGGTTCAGATACCCATGTTATTTATACAAGAACAACATTGACACCAACAACAGGCTAGCCGAATTATACCTATTAACTTTGGAACGTTGATTTGGGGTTTAGGTCCAGTTTGGAACCTCTAGGGTAGCTTTGCTAGCCTACTTCCTATGTATCCCCAAAAACACAAAAAGGCAAATGGTAAGACCTATATATTCAAATGTTACAGGTATTCGTGTTTCCCAAATAATGATAAAGTAATTACAGGTCCCAAATCATGATGCAAGTTACAGCGCTGGAGCAGAGCATTGCAAGGCAGTTGTATCCACCTAGACGTACATAACTGTAAAATGTACATGAATTGAATCGTTCCAGTGAAAGTGTACATTTGAATCTCATCCAAAGAAAGAAAACCAGACGGTCAAGGCGTACAGAAAAGAGGAGAATCTATTAACTCGTCGTCCTTGATGTTGATTGCTGATTGTGGAAGCGTTATGCAACTAATAGCGCCTGTCGGTGTTGCCTGGTTGGTTACCCAGTGGCAGTGGATATTACATCTGTGTCAACAAGGTTCTAAATGTGTTGGTTACCTTGAGCCTCCTCCCTGATACAATTTCCCGGTTAGGAATAGATAGGCTTTTTAAATCTTGTTTGGTTTAGAGGAGAGTAAGTAATTTCTTCTAATCAAATCACTATAGTATTGAGTGGCCTGCTCCTCGAAGTATAATGTTGTAAATTAGTCTTAAGAACTTGAGTTGCTAGATTTATAACCAAGTATTCTTTTATAAAGATATGTTTGGTACAATGGTTTGGAGGGGCATTGAATAGTAGTTTTACTCAAATTGCTAAAATTAAGTTCTTTTTATATAAACTTATTTATTTTGAAATCGTTATAAACTAAGTATTTGATAAATTTTTTTTTTTTGATCGAAAAACTTTGCACATATTTTATTCAAAAAATAGCATGAAATAGGAGATTACAACTTAAGCGATAAGCTTTTCCCCTATTACAATATGTGCGAGGCTAGCTGGGACTTCTTCTATATAAAATTCATCAGCTTCAGCATGCAGGGCACGTTTCGCAAGCTCGTGCGCTACCGCATTACCTTCTCATTGTACGTGTTGGACATGGCAAGAAAGGAACATGGTCATTAATCGTTTGCAGTCTAACAAAATAGCACCTAAACTTGAATGGAAGCTAAGTGTCAAACTGTTTAATGCTGTCACAATACTCGAACAATCGGATTCCAAAATGATTCTCCTGAAAGAGAGATTTTGGGCCCACCGCAAGGCTTGCTGCAGGCTGCAAGCCTTGGCAATCTCAGCAGGCACTAGACCTTGTCCCTTACAAACCATAGCTGCCATCACTTCACCCAAAGAGTCTCGCGCAACTGCACCCATCCCATGCACACGCTCCTCATCGGATGTCGCCCCATCCACATTAATTTTTACGAGTTCTTCTCCTGGCGGTTGCCATCTCGTTTCTGTGTGGCGTTGGACTACCGTAGCTCCTCTCCCCTTTGAAATTGTCAAGCATCTATACTCATTTAGAAAAAGGAGGCTCTGCTCAACAATAACCTGAGGGCTGGTGATCTTACCATTCCACAGGGCATTGTTCCTGCAATTCCATCGCTTCCAGCACACCACACAGAAAAGCTCCAAGTGTTCTGTCCCCAAGACCTCTACCACAATGTCAAAGGATGCTGCAAACGTCTCTATGCCAAGCTCAAACACCTTAAGAGTGAAAGGGCACCCCAACCAAACAGCTTGAGCAGCAAGGCAGGACATGAGGCTATGTAATACAGATTCCTGCTCCAAATCGCACACTGGGCATTCAGGATCTACCATTATCTGTCGATGGTGCAAGTTGTCCTTAGTGGGCAAGATATTGCAATAGGCACTCCACAACAGCAAGTGAACTTTCTCAGGAATATCAAGGGACCATAGACGCCTCCCCTAAAAGCCTGAAGATGAGCTCGTCGGAAGACTCGGATTTCGCTGCATTTCAATGGCTATATGATAACCAGACTTGACAGAATAAGAGCCATGTCTCGTGTAATTCCAAACCCAGCTATCATGTTGCCCCATCCAACTCAATGGAAGGGACAAAATGAGTTGGGCCTCATGCGAATTGAAAGTTTCCATAACTAGATCTCTTTTCCAAGTGTGAGTGTCAGCATCAATAAGATCACGGACATATTCAAGATCACAGTTCTCCGGTTGGGGCGATTGAACATAGTATTGAGAGTTACCTGGGATCCATGGGTCACTCCAAATCCGTGTATTACGACCATCTCCGATCAGCCTCCAGCAACCGTGCTTCAAAAGATCCAGTGAGTGCCAAATACTTCTCCATGTAAGGCTACAGGATGGCTTAAGGCTAGCATGTAACAAATCAGATCGAGGAAAATATTTCGCTTTCAAGACTCTTGCAGCCAACGAATCAGAATTGACAAGCAATCGCCATCCTTGCTTCCCCAACAAAGCAGTGTTAAATTCATGCAAGGCTCGAAATCCGAGGCCCCCCATATTCTTTGGGATCGCAAGCCGTCTCCACTCCATCCAGTGGATCTTGTGCTCATCATCTCCTCCACCCCACCAGTACCTGTTCATAATCCTTTCCAATTCTGTACAAAGCCTCGTATGGAGGAGAAAGGTACTCATAACATACATAGGCAAAGCTTGTAACACAGACTTTATTAACACTTCCCGACCTGCTTTAGATAAAGGTTGTTATCTCCAATCATGAATTCACATCCAAAAGTTGTTCTTTAGACCAAAGAAGGTTGATGTCCTGGATCTGCAAACTTGGGATGGGAAGCCGAGATACCTCCTTGGGTTTTTTTGTCTCTTCCATTCCCAGAACATCAAGAATCTTAACACGGGTCTGTTGGTCGACATTTGGACTAAAAGTGACAGAAGATTTGCATAGATTAACCATCTGGCCCGATGCTGCTTCGTACTTCTTGAGGATGTCCAACAAATTTCGAGCCCCCAATTCTGATGCCTTTAAGAACAAGAAGCTATCATCAGCAAAAAAGAGATGAGAAATCCTAGGAGCCTATCTGCAAATCCTCACTCCACGCAAGAAATCTCTCCTCTCAGCCTCCTTGATCATGGCTGTTAACCCCTCTGCACATAAAATAAATAAGTAGGGTGATAAAGGGTCACCTTGTCGAATTCCACGAGAAGGAGAGATATGACATGAAACCTCACCATTCAACAACATCTCATACTGTACTGAGGACACACATGCCATAATTTTCTGGACCCAAGTTTCTGCAAACCCAAGTGCTTTCATTACAGCTTCTAAATAAGGCCACTCCACACGGTCGAAAGCTTTGCTCATGTCTAACTTTAAGGCATACCATCCCCTTGCTCCTTTCTTTCTGGCACGCATGTAATGGAATACCTCATATGCAATTAGGAAATTGTCTGTGATTAATCTGTTGGGTAGAAAAGCACTCTACTCTTGGGATATAACCCTTAGCAAGATCTGTTTGAATCTATTAGCCAGCACTTTAGCTATGACCTTATAGATGACAGTACAGAGGTTGATGGGTCTAAGATTATACATGATTTTTGGATCCTTGCACTTTGGGATGAGCACCACATGTGTAAAGTTCAGTGCAGGTGGAAACTCCACTCCATGATTAAGGAATTGCAAACATGGCTTGAGTATATCATCCTTAATCTGGCCCCAGAAATGTTGAAAAAAGGCAGGTGATAAACCGTTTGGGCCAGAGGCCTTTGAAGGGTGCATTTGGAATAGAGCTTTTGAGACTTCCTCCTCAGTGAACTCACTAGTTAAGTAGTTATTATCAACCTCTAGTACGCACAGGCTTAAGCACTTCGTAACATGGCTTATATCCACTGGCTGGGTTGTTTCAAATAGGGAGGTAAAATAGCTAGAGACAATGTGCTGCATCTCAATGAAATCATATTTCCACTCCCATCCTCTCCCAACAACCTCTCAACCTTATTTCAATCTCTTTGTTTGGACGCGCACCTGTGGAAGAACCGGGTGTTACGATCTCCTTCTTGGATCCATATTTCACGGGAACGTTGCCTCCACATAATCTCCTCTCTCTCTAACCATTCCTCCATCTCAGCTAGCACCTGCCGCTCTTTGTGGCTCACAATTTCATAATGAGGTTGTTGTTGCAAAGCATTAATCTTCCTCATACATTGCCTTAAACGCTTCTGCACCTTACCAAACTTTGTAGAGTTCCAGGTTGTTAGCGCAGAGGAGCAAGATTGGACTTTTTGTATGAGAGTGTTCCAACCTTCATACCCAGTTACGGAGGACCAGCTAGATGATACAACTTCCTGACATTCCTCTTTACGCAGCCACATCTCTTCAAACCGAAACTTCATTTTGCGTTTATTTCTCCTGTCTCAATGCCCAGCAAACACGATCCATAGGGGGTTATGGTCAGATGAAAGTGATGGCAACAGGCAAACTTGAGCTTTAGGGAATAAGTTCCTCCAGCTAAGATTAGCTAGACCTCTATCCAGCTTTTCAACCATTGACCCCCTTTGCCAAGTGAAACAACCCCCAGACATGGAGACCTCAGTCAAACCACAATGATCAAGAGTGTCACTAAATCCTTAAAGCAGCCAGTCTAGGTGAGGGACGCCACCCCTCTTTTCCTCTTGGTTTAAGAGGTCATTAAAGTCTCCACCTATGAACCAGGGTAAAGTCGAGCGTCTACCAAGTTCCTGGATTAGGGCCCACGATCTCCGCCGATGTTTTCTCTCCGGGAATTCATAAAAGCCAGTAAACCTCCATTTCCTCTCTCCTATCCCTACCACCTCCATATTAATGTGGTTCTGGGAATAAGAAAGTAAAGATAGATGCACATCTGACTTCCATAATAAGGCCAGGCCCCCACTACGCCCCCTCATGTCAATAGTAAAACAGTTTTGAAAGCCCAATCGTCTTCGAATCCTCTCCATACCTCTTCTATCTAGGAGTGTTTCACTGAGAAACACTATTAGAGGCTTCTTTAACCCCACCAGTTCGATGAGGCTATGAACTGCTCGAGGGTTCCCAAGCCCCCGACAATTCCAACAAAAGAGACTCACGACGAGCGGCAGGCTTGCATAGCAGTGCCTGACGATACAATGATTTGCTCTCCATCAACACCAATTCCTCTTCCTCTCTTTTCCAAGCTTGCAGTGACAATTGTAGTGTTCTGGTCCTGTTCCTCCTTCCTCTTGACGCTACCAGTTGTGAATTTAGGATGCACAAGAGGGGTCCTTTTGTCTCGACCTTCCCTTTTCCAGGCCCTAGGCTTGTGGGTGGGGTTGCTCTGGGGTGAATAGAACAAGAAAACTGAGTTTGAAACAGTGGGCTGGCTAGTACCGATCTGGCCCTGTATCTGGGCCTGCATAGAGCCCAATCCATCTATACTGTTATGCTCATCATGTGCCGAGGCTACATTAGGGAATGACTCACACCTACAATCCTGCTCCTATAGACTAGGCACATTTAAAGGGATCCCGCCATTTTTGCTACTATCAACGGTCTTTGCTTGATTTATGGGATTGCTCTGTTGTTCCATATTTGATAAAATGTTTTATTTAACGATTTTAAATTAACATATTATGATTAAGGTCCAAACCACTAATAAATTGAAAAAGTTATATAAGATAGTTTTTTGTACTAAATCATTAATAGATTGAAATTTTTTAATTTTATTGACAATTTATTTTTTTAATTTTTTAATTTTTTTGCTATAGTTTTTAATTATTACTTATCTAATTAGTTTTAATTTTATTTGTCTTTAATAATACTAAGTAGTTATTATATTTTTACTTTTACATTAATTTATCATTAAAAAATATATTACCTTAATAAACAAAATTTTTTAATTAAATGAAAAGATTAAATTATTTTTGTACTTTATTTAAAACTAATATAATTTTTTCTTTATTAAAAATAAAAATTAGTGTATGTTTATATTATTATAATTTATCTATTTATGTATTTTTATTATTTTATAAAATTAATAATTTTAATAATAAAAAATATATAAAATATATTTAATTGTTTTAAAATATATCCTTATCAATCATTTAATTTTAAACGATAACTATAAACTATTATATAATCAAACAGTTATATTAATTGAATTTGCTATTTACTATCCATCACACACTATCCGTTAGCTGGCACCCACTACTTGCTATTGTTATTCACTATCCACTATTTGCTTAACTTTAACCACCATATCAGACAAGCTTTAAGTATAAGTTCAAAGTTATAAAATTTTGAAACATGGAATTAATTTTTTCTTAAATGCATTCTAGTCGATTTGGGGTGTGATCATAAAATTACTTTAATAACCTTAAATGCTGAACTTACTTAGAGAAGGTTCTAAACTTATGAGGGTAAAACTAATGATAGTAATATTTTATGTATTATATGGGTTTTTTATTTTTTACGAAAATGATATAATTATAATGTGACTTGATATTATGAATTCATAATCTTAATGTCTCATTATATAATTAATTATTTTTATTTAAGAACCAATTTATGATATTACATAAAGAAAAAGAAAAATAAGAATGTCTTGACTTTTAAAATACCAGGACATCTAATTATAATTATTAAACACGTGGAACATAGTGTGGCTCTAATTTTATCAAATTTATCATGTGATTATTATTAAACGTTAGCATTTTAAATGATAAGACGTTTTGATTTTTTCTTTGAAAGAGTTACATTTAAGTCCCAAAATTTTAGTTCTATGCATTCAAGTCCTTTTTTCATAAATAATAAAATCATGTTATTTCCAATAAAATCATACTGAACTCATTTAAATATCAATAAAATTAGGCCTAAAATAGTAAAGTGAAATAGATAAAATTTTATATTATCAAAGTGAAAATTTGACTTTTTAATACCCACTTGTCTTAAAAAAAAAATTTAATTCTCTATTTGGGATCCTATGAGCACTACAACCAAAATGATAAAAGTTGCAAACAATATGGATATGACTTGTGAGTGTATGCTAAATGTAGTCGTGTGAACATCACGAACTAATGATAACTTTAGGTGTTATTTCTATAATTGTAAGTGTATAACAAGGAAAAGACAGCAAGCATATCCTTTTTACCCTTTTTTCATCATACTCTCTGTTTTTTTTTTTTCCCCAATGTGAGTTATATATATGTAGAGAGTTAAATATCTTTTCTTATTTTTAAGGATCCCAAATTGGATATCAAAGACTTGACTTCGACTTTGATTAGATGAATTTTATATATTTAAATTTACTATTTTAGTCTTAATTTCATTGATATTTTGATGAGTTAAATGTGATTTTATTGAATTTTGAATATTTTCTTTTTATTTTTACAAAAAAAAGACTAGTCCTCATCCATCCTCCTCCATCTCCCTTTACCTATACCAATCTTATCCCTAATTTTTGCAATAGAAAAAAATTGATATATTTTTCAATTCGAGACAATTATTAATAACACTCCAATTTAACCATTAAATTTATCAACCTTAAGTTTTTTCTCTTTTAATTCAATTTTTTTTTTTATATTGGTTGCACAACGAGGGATAACCCTCTCTTATCCATTATCTTATTTCACCCGTATACCATATGACTTGAACTCAGGATTTCTTATTTTTAACAGAAAGAGATCACCATTGAACCATTTAACTCGTTGGCTCTTTTAATTCAATTTTAAAAATAATAATTTCATAATATATATGTTATAAAGTGTGTTAAATTAGAAATTGTGTTAATAATTATTCTTTGCTACATTTTTAAAGGGTTGTCCACTAAATTGCTATCTGAATCAAAATTCTCACTGGGCAGAAAGTTTATTTTCTCTGTTTCTCCATCACGAATTCCTTGCCTCGATTAGCACCTTCTAATTGGTCTTCATTATTGGAGATTTCTCCCCCTACTGATCCATCGGTGAAGGCTAGTGTTTTACCCATAGCACAAGATCGGACAGGTAGGACTAGATTGGTCGAACTAATTGTGGGACCTCAATTCTAATCAAAGCTGTCTTATTTATTAACAGTTGTTCACACTTCACAACAACAAATTTGGTGATGAATCATGAATTGCTTTTATCACCATTATTTCCCCATCATCTTTGGAATGGTAGTTGTTATTTAATGGCAGACAACGAGGCCTTGCTGCCTGTGCTCGCAAGTTACCTTGCCTTACACAACAGTTTATAATTCATTCCCCCTAAACAGCTACTACTAAATTTCTTTCCTTTTAAGTTTCTCTTCATTGTTTTATCATTGCAGGTTGACAACTGAAGATATATACATTTTTTTATTTAAAGCAATTAAAAGTAAAGTATTTTGTACCTGTTAAAGGCATTATCAAACTATAATAATTAAAAGGCAAACTTATAATCCAACTTATTTTTTTATGTTGGGTTTCACAATAGAATGAATCATCACCTATCTTTTAATTCACCACATATTATAAAGTTTGAAATTAAAATCTTTTATTTTTTGTATTTAAAAAAAAATAAAATTATTATTGGATTCTTTAGATTATTAACAAGTTATAATCTAAGACTTGATTCAGCATCATTTATTATGGTTACTTCAATTGAAACAAAGAACCGTGCCGTGCAATGCCCCGCAAAGTTAATAATTTTATAAAAATATAAAATTATGTTTTAATTATGTTTAAAAGTTTAAAAAAATTTATGATATATTTAGATTAAAGTGAATAAAAAAGAGGTGAGGGGAAAATTTTATTTTATTTTCTAATTCATTTACTAGACTTTATTAATTTTTAATGAAAATAAATCATCACTATAATGTTGAGTTTAATATTAAATTTAATCTTAAAGACTGAGTTCTCCCTCTCTCCCATCATGATAATTTTCTTTTCCTTCTCATTGAGTAATATAATTAAACTCGATTAATCTATCAATGAAGATTCTTGTTTCCTAATTCTGCATTTCAAAATATAAAATTATTAATGTTCAAATTAAATTTCTACTATTTTAAATGCAAATTTATTATTAAGTCTTACTTTTCTAAAATTTTGTAGGCATTGTGATAAC